AAAAATCAAACCAAAACAAAAAAATATGCAGAAGAAATAACTATAACTCAATTAAAAAAAGTTAAAAATTTTTACTAAATAAAAAAATATGCAGAAGAACTAGTCATTTTTCCAAAGAGGGCATCAGAATGGCTAACAGGCACAGAAGGTGCTCAACTTCACTAATCATCAAAAAATGCACCCAAAACAACTATAAGATATCACCTTATACATGTTAGAATGACTATCATGAAGACAAGAGACAGCTGGTGCTGGAGAAGATGTAGTGAAAAGAAACCCTTATACACTGTTGATGGGAATGTAAATTGCTCCAACCACTGTGGAAAACAACATGGAGGTTCCTCAAAACATTAAAAATAGACCTACCACAAAATCCAGCAATTCCACTTCTGGGAATATACTCAAAGGAAATGAAAATCCAAAGGAATTTGAAGAGATGTGTCCACCCCCATGTTTACTGCAACATTATTCACAATAGCTCATTGTGAAAGATACGGAAACAACCCAGATGCCCACCAACAGACGAATGGATAAAAAAGATGTGGTATATACACAATGGCATATTATTCAGCCACAAGAAAGAAGGATATCCTTCATTTTTGTGACAACATGGATGGACCATGAGCACATTTTGGTAATGAGATAAGCCAGATTACTTATATGTGGAATCTAAAAAAATATATATACATACACACACACACACACACACACAATGTCAAACACGTTAAAAAAAAAAAAAAAGAGTAAAATAGTGGTTACCAGGGGATTGGGGTAGGAGGATAAGACTGAGGGTGTTTAAGGGTACCAACTTGTAACAAGTACTAAAATAATCATAGAGATTTAATGCACAATAGGCACAGACAGTAATATTGTACTAAGTATGTAATGTATTAAATATTGTTATAACAGCAACCATATTACAATATATAAAGGTACCAAAGTAACATGATGTACATCCTACATTTACACAATTATCCAACAACAACAAAAAAAAGAAAAATGATACAATGATCTAGTAAAGACTCAGGATATTTCATAACACTCTTTTGATCAGTAATCATTATTTTGCACATTAACAAAATGCACTTCTATATAATTAGAAAAAAGTATTTGAAATTCATGAATTTTAAATAAAAATGTGATAGGAATAAGATAATGTTATTCTGATCATTTCTGAAGATGGAAAAAAAAAAGCAAGCAAAGGAAACCCTTGTGCATTGGTGTTATAAATAAAAACTGGTGCAGCTACTAGGGAAAACAGAATGATGATTCTTCAAAACTAAAAATAAAACTGTATGATCAAGAAATTTCACTTCTGGGTATTTATCCAAAGGAAATGAAAATCACTATTTCAGAAAGATATATGAACTCTCATGTTCACTGCAGCATTATTGACATAAACAAGACATGAAAACAACCTAAGTGTCCACTGAATGTATACTGTGTATATAACTATACACACAAACACACACACACACGACACTGGAACATTACTCAGCCATAAAAAAGAAGGAAACCCTGTTATTTGCAACAACATGGGTGAAACTTGAAAGCATTATACTAAGTGAAATGTCAGATAGAGAAAGATAAATAGCTGTATAATCTCACCTATATCTGCCAAATGAAAAAAATCACAGATAAGGAAAATAGATCGATGGTTGCCAGAGGGGGGGACAGGGGGGTATTGTTAGTGAAACTGGTGGAGGTGGGTCAAAAGGTATAAAGTTCCACTTATAAGATATAGGCTATATGGGGGTGTAATGTACAGTATGGTGACTATAGTTTACAATACTACATTGCATATTTGAAAGTTGCTAGGAAAGAAGATTTAAAAATTTCTATCAAAAGGGAAAAAAGGTAACTCTGTGAGATGGAATGTTAACTTATAGTGGTCATCATTTTACAATATATATCAAACTCTTGTATACCTAAAACTAGTATGTTATATGTCAATTATGTTTCAAAAAATAAAAATAAAAATACATGTTATTTCCTTTCTTCTGCCTACTTTGGATTTAACGTGCTCCTCCTTTGGTTTCTTAAGGTAGACACTGTCGACTGAAATAAATGCGCAGCCTAAAAGGTAAGAATTATGAAAGAATGCTGAAACCAAGTCATCAGCAGCTGCCGCCACCCCCCAGTGGGGACGGGCCTGCAGCCCAGCCTCTGCAGCCATTCACAATGGTGCACTCTGAGCAGACTCAGAATAAGAAAGGACAGGATACTGGCCCTAGATAGCTAGGTGCTTGTCAAAGGAATGAATTCTGTGAGCCCAAATGTTTGCTTCCTCCCATACATAGAAAAGCACTTAATTCATTAACTTGAGATGCCTGGCTTTCTTTAGATAACAAGCAATCTTTTATTGTTCCAACTACCTGGTCTTTGTTGTAAAGCTCCTGTATATCCTAGCTCCTCCCCTACCTCTTTGGAGCAGTCCCTCAGAGCAATCTGAGAGGCTGTCATCCCGGCTCGAGTCCTCCCGCCAAATAAAACATAACTCTTAACTTTCAGGCTGCACTTTTATTTCAGTTGACAACACTAAGGTCGCTGAAATGTAATCTTCTCTAATACAGACTTTTAGTGCTATAAATTTTTTCTTGATATTGTTTTAGCAGCATCCCACAAATTTTGATTGGTTGTGTTTTCACTTTAATTCAGGTAGAAATATCTCCTGTTCCCTTTTGATTTCTTCTTTGATCCATGGGCTGTTTACAAATGTATTATTCAGTTTGCACACATTTAGGGGACTCTTCAGGAATTTTCCTGTTGAGTTCTAATTCAACTCCATTGTGATCAGAGAACATACTTCACATGACAAATTCTTTTAAATTTACTGGGACTTGTTTCATGGCCCAGAATATGATCCATCTTGGTAGTGTTCCACGTGCACCTAAGAATGTTTATTCTGCTATTGTCAGATAGAATGTTCTATAAATGTCAATTAGGTCTGATTGGTTGATAGTACTGTTCAGGTCTTCAATATTTCTTATGGTTTTCTGTCTATTCTATTATTAAAAAACATACCATAGGAATTTATGAGAAGTCAGAGTATGTGATGGGCCCCTCATCACTCCCTCAGGCCACCATGTCAGAAAACCCACCAGAAGGGAGCCAGCATGACTCAGGGCTCACAGTGAGAGTCCTGACTGCCCTCCCCTGTCCACTATACAGTAGATTGTATCCCACATCACAGACACCTAGCTACAGACATTTATCCTCCCATTTTCTCTTCATCCTGACCTTTAAGTTTGACAGTCAGTTCTGCACACCTATGGTTCTGATGACTTGCCCTGGCTACATCACTTTTAGCTACTGAGAGTAAACTAAACACCCTTTCACCCAGCCCTGCAGGCTGCAACTAAACAAGATAAAGAGGAATTCCTGACTGACTGACTCCAAATAGAAGGTTTCCACTGTAACTCTGAATTTTTACATTTAATTCAACAAATGTTGGTTAAGTAAGTGCCTACTGCGTGCAAGTGTTAGAGCAGGCAGATAGCTAGATATGAGCAGAGAAAGGGGGACACAGACCAAATGGCAGGAATTGGGCAGAAAGGAGGGGCACAGGCCAAATGCAGGAAACCACACATCATGTGAGCAGCAGGGATCCTTGGGCAGAGAAAGAAAAGCTGGAATCTTTGGGCTGATAAGGGACCACACCTTTTGGCTTGGAGACCAACAAAGAAAGGTCAGAAAAGGCAGGAATTTCCAGTGTCCGAACGTAACCTTTTACTCATTATGCCCTTATTTCAATAAAATTAGCCTTGCAGATCAGAAGTACCCATCATGCACTGACGCCATGACAATTCCGATCCAGAATAAATAAGGACAAAAATCCCTCCTCCCTTTGGGAAGGTGGAGTTGGGATGATAATCAGGGAATATGACCCCAAACCCTTCCCTCCCCAATGAATATTCCGCCCATTCATTTTTACACCCTATGTAACTAACTTGCCAAAGAAACTCAGGGCAGCTGCTCACCTTAGCCTACCTGCTCTCCCCTGAGAGTGGATTATCCATCCTTTAATAAATCCTCACTTTACCTTTTTAACCTCTAAGTCTTGTCTCTGAATTCTTTCTGGGACAGGACAAGAACCTGGAACACCGGTTGCATCTATCGGTGACATCTTTGGCGAGCCAGCCAGGAGATTGCAGATCTGGTAAGCCAAGGCCTCTCGCCTCCCTTGTGCTCGAGAGGCACTAACTCTTTCTCTCTCTATTACTCTCTTATCATCTGTCACTTCTAGGGCGCTCGCCACTAAAACCAGTCTCTCCGGCGAGGGGATCATGGACTAAAGAGAGGATAGTTCTGTTCTGATAGTTGTTCTTCGTCTACCCAAAACAATTTTCTATGCTGCATTCTATAGGCACACAGTTAAGAGCTTAATACTACCCCCTCCCCGAGGCTATCCTGTCTCCTCTCCCTGCCTCCACCTCACTACACTTTCCGGTCTTTCTCTACAAAAGGGAGGGGGGAAGGAGGAATTTACTGAGCACTTCCCAAACCTTGCTGCCAGGATCGTTTTCTATTTCTCATTGTTACATATGCACAGGGCTTGTTAGGGAAAGTTCCCAACAACTTTCACAGGCAGCTAAGGACCCAAACAACCTCTAGGATGTTTGCCCTCTGGGTTTCGAAAATAAATCAGCTTTAAGTAAACTACAAGAGAGCTCAGACAGCAGCTGAGGCTACAGTCCCTATGGGAGCTCCCTCCAGCCACAGATGCTCACTGGGG